GAATGTCCAGAGGACCAGACTTAACTTTTTTAGATAAACAGTATTTATGTTAAGTGAGATATATAATGAAGCTATCTGAGCTAAATGAAGTTATCTAGACATTATGTAATTCAAATTATGTGATTTAAACAATGCAAAACATATTGCATGTTATTAAAGTTGAACATGAAGACATCAGGTTTAATTTTTATTTATTTATTCAACACCACAAACTGTATGTCACAAAAACACTGATAACTAAACTGAACACACTATTAAAAACACGTTAACTGTAAACTGCATTAATGAACTGGACTCTACTCGGTTTTCATCCTGGATATACTGGTCCCACGTTGTTCATCTGGCTCGTTCAGGCTGTAACTCCTTTGCTTAATGCAGCTTAAAATATTGAATGGATTAAATAAAAGAAATGAGGGGAATTTTAAATAAATAGTTCATCATCTCTCTCTTCGACATCCTCCTGCACTGCACCTGGGGCGAGCTTCATTTAGAACCAGTCCGCCTGGTGGGAAGACAGCTTCACCTCGCAGGAAAAATAAAAACTTGGTTGTTGTGTGATCGAAGTAAACACAAGATAATATTATGAAGAACGTTGATTTACCTGATGTAAATCATCTACTGATTATCATGGAGTAAAGTCCGACATCGTCAACTCGGTTCTGGTCCCGACCGGTGTGGAGCCATTAGACGAAGTGGCATCAAATCTGTGAACTCATCCAAAATCCAGCTTTAACTTGTTGTTGTTGTTGTTGTTGTTGTTAGCTGAGCTTTTAGTCCAGAGGAAAGTCCTTACAGGGAGCGGGCTGAGGCAGCACGCATGCCCATTAGGTGAAGGAACAAAATTCACAGCAACTACATAAGATTTGTGGGGACTGGGGTGGATTCCTCCGGATGCATGTAAACACAAAATCCATTTGTGTCAACACGGATCTTTTCCTCTAATTAACATACAAAAAAAAAAACTACGTTTCCCCCCAACCTGTCCATGTAAATAGGGCCAAAGAGTTGTTGGACCACAACGGGTCAAAATGAGAGAGTTCCCGGAACTTGTTTCGGCAGGATCCGGCTCCAATTAACCACTGGTGACGCAAAATAGTTGCAATGTATTTATGGATTTTTTTCACTTTATTAGACATATCTAAAAAAGTTAAATCTGGGCCTCTGGACATTCAAAAAAACAAAACAACAACAACAACAAAAAATGTAGAAACGTTTCGTCTTTCATCCGAAAGACGTCCTCAGTCTGAGGTGCTGTATTCAGCTCGGTCTGTGGTTAAAAGAAGAAGTTGATAGATTGCCTGAAAATTTTGGAACAGGACAAAGATATTGACCGTTTTCTGTACCACAGACTGTACCCAGGGGAGGCCACACCTAGTCTGTATGGTTTACCTAAAATCCACAAACAAGGTGTACCTTTAAGACCTATTGTTAGCATGATTAACTCTGTCACTTACAATGTTTCCAAATATCTGGCGTCTGTACTCATCCCTTTAGTTGGCAGCTCAGAACACCACATACAGAACACCATGGACTTTGTGGATAAGGTGAGGGATGTCATCATGGAGGCTGATGAAACAATGGTCTCTTTTGATGTCACATCACTCTTTACGTGCATTCCTGTTGATGATGCAGTAGAGGTGGTCAGTTTAAGATTAAAATCAGACACCACTCTGAGCAGCAGGACCACACTTTCCACAGAACAACTGTGTCAACTCTTGAAACTGTGCCTGCAGTCAACCTACTTCACATATGGGGAGCAATATTATAGGCAGAAACATGGGTGTGCTATGGGGTCTCCAGTTTCTCCTATTGTTGCCAACCTGTACATGGAGGAGGTAGAAAAGAGAGCCTTAACATCCTTTTCAGGGACACCACCAAGTCATTGGTTCAGGTATGTTGACGACACCTGGGTTAAAATTAAATCTCAGGAAGTCCAACATTTTACTGACCACATCAACTCTGGATAAATACATCAAGTTCACATGAGATGTAAAAAATGGCAAGTTGGCTTTCTTGGACTGTGAGGTCTCAGTCTTTGATAGAGGACATTTGCAAACTGAGGTGTACCGCAAACCCACCCACACAGACCAGTATTTGCAGTTTGACTCCCATCACAGAGCAGACAGCGTCCCCACTAACTCGGGAGCCAGGCAGAAGGAGAAATCCCACACAAGACAGGGGTCTCTCGAGCAATGTGGATATCCTAACTGGGCCTTTCTCAAAGCAGAGAAGAAACCCAAACAGGAC